CCTTTTTTCTTGCAATTTTGCACTCGCTAGGCCCTTGTTCTTGCAATTTGGCACATGCTAGGCCCTTGTTCTTGCAATTTTGCACACGCTAGGCCCTTGTTCTTGCTATTTTGCACACGCAAAGCCCTTGTTTTTGAAATTTTGCACACGCTAGGCCCTTGTTCTTGCTATTTTGCACTCGCTAGGCACTTGTTCTTGCAATTTTGCACACGCTAGGCCCTAGTTCTTGCAAGTTTGCACACGCTAGGCCCTTTTTCTTGCTATTTTGCACACGCTAGGCCCTTGTTCTTGCAATTTTGCACTCGCTATGCCCTTGTTCTTGCTATTTTGCACATGCTAGGCCCTTGTTCTTGCTATTTTGCACACGCTATGCCCTTGTTCTTGCTATTTTGCACATGCTAGGCCCTTGTTCTTGCAATTTTGCAAACGCTAGGCCCTTGTTCTTGCTATTTTGCACATCCTAGGCCCTTGTTATTGCAATTTTGCACACATTAGGCCCTTGTTCTTGCAATTTTGCACTCGCTAGGCCCTTGTTCTTGCAGTTTTGCACATGCTAGGCACTTGCTCTTGCAATTTTGCACACGCTAGGCCGTTGTTCTTGCAATTTTGCACACGCTAGGCCCTTGTTCTTGCAATTTTGCACATGCTAGGCCCTTTGTCTTGCACTTTTGCACACACTATGCCCTTGTTCTTGCAATTTTGCACACGCTAGACCCTTGTTTTTGAAATTTTGCACACGCTAGGCCCTTGTTCTTGCAAGTTTGCACATGCTAGGCCCTTGTTCTTGCTATTTTGCACACACTAGGCCCTTGTTCTTGCCATTTTGCACACGCTAGGCCCTTGTTCTTGCTATTTTGCACACGCTAGGCCCTTGTTCTTGCTATTTTGCACACGCTAGGCCCTTGTTCTTGCTATTTTGCACACGCTAAGCCTTTGTTCTTGCATTTTTGCACACGCTAGGCCTTTGTTCTTGCAATTTTGCACTCTCTAGGCCCTTGTTCTTGCAATTTGGCACATGCTAGGCCCTTGCTCTTGCAATTTTGGCACACACTAGGCCCTTGTTCTTGCTATTTTGCACACGCAAAGCCCTTGTTTTTGAAATTTTGCACACGCTAGGCCCTTGTTCTTGCTATTTTGCACTCGCTAGGCACTTGTTCTTGCAATTTTGCACACGCTAGGCCCTTGTTCTTGCTATTTTGCACATGCTATGCCCTTGTTCTTGCAATTTTTCACACGCTAGGCCCTTATTCTTTCAATTTTGTACACACTAGGCCCTTGTTCTTGCAATTTTGTACACGCTAGGTACTTGTTTTTGCTATTTTGCACAAGCTAGACCCTTGTTCTTGCAATTTTGCATCAATAGGCCCTTATTCTTGCAATTTTGCACATGCTCGGCCCTTGTTCTTGCTAGTTTGCACACGCTAGTCCCTTGTTCTTGCTATTTCGCACACGCTAGGCCCTTGTTCTTGCAATTTCGCACTCGCTAGGCCCTTGTTCTTGCCATTTTGCACACGCTAGGCCCTTGTTCTTGCCATTTTGCACACGCTAGGCCCTTGTTCTTGCAATTTTGCACACGCTAGGCCCTTGTTCTTGCAATTTCGCACACGCTAGGCCCTTGTTCTTGCAATTTTGCATACGTTATGCCCTTGTTCTTGCTAATTTGCACACGCTAGGCCCTTGTTCTTGCAATTTTGCACACACTAGGCCCTTGTTCTTGCAATTCTGCACACGCTAGGCCCTTGTTCTTGCTATTTTGCAAACACTAGGCCCTTGTTCTTGAAATTTTGCACACGCTAGGCCCTTGCATTTGCTATTTTGCACTCGCTAGGCCCTTGTTCTTGCAATTTTGAACACGTTAGGCCCTTGTCCTTGCAATTTTGCACATCCTGGGCCCTTGTTCTTGCTATTTTGCACTCGCTAGGCCCTTGTTCTTGCAATTTTGCATACGCTAGGCCCTTGTTCTTGCTATTTTGCACATGCTACGCCCTTGTTCTTGCAATTTCGCACACATTAGGCCCTTGTTCTTGCAATTTTGCACTTGCTAGGCCATTGTTCTTGCTATTTTGCACATGCTAGGCCCTTGTTCTTGCAATTTTATACACGCTAGGCCGTTGTTCTTGCAATTTTGCACACGCTAGGCCCTTGTTCTTGCAAATTTGCACATGCTAGGCCCTTTTTCTTGCAATTTTGCACACGCTATGCCCTTGTTCTTGCAATTTTGCACAGGCTAGACCCTTGTTCTTGAAATTTTGCACACGCTAGGCCCTTGTTCTTGCAATTTTGAACACGCTAGGCCCTTGTTCTTGCTATTTTGCACACGCTAGGCCCTTGTTCTTGCCATTTTGCACACGCTTGGCCCTTGTTCTTGCTATTTTGCACACGCTAGGCCCTTGTTCTTGCTATTTTGCACACGCTAGGCCCTTGTTCTTTCTATTTTGCACACGCTATGCCCTTGTTCTTTTTATTTTGCACATGCTAGGCCGTTGTTCTTGGAATTTTGCAAACGCTAGGCCCTTGTTATTGCTATTTTGCACACGCTAAGCCTTTGTTCTTGCATTTTTGCACACGCTAAGCCTTTGTTCCTGCAATTTTGCACTCGCTAGGCCCTTGTTCTTGCAATTTTGCACATGCTAGGCCCTTGTTCTTGCAATCTTGCACACGCTAAGCCCTTGTTCTAGCTATTTTGCACACGCAAAGCCTTTGTTTTTGAAATTATGCACACGCTAGGCCCTTGTTCTTGCTATTTTGCACTCGCTAGGCACTTGTTCTTGCAATTTTGCACACGCTAGGCCCTTGTTCTTGCTATTTTGCACACGCTAGGCCCTTGTTCTTGCTGTTTTGCACACGCTAGGCCCTTGTTCTTTCTATTTTGCACACGCTATGCCCTTGTTCTTTTTATTTTGCACATGCTAGGCCGTTGTTCTTGCAATTTTGCAAACGCTAGGCCCTTGTTATTGCTATTTTGCACACGCTAAGCCTTTGTTCTTGCATTTTTGCACACGCTAAGCCTTTGTTCCTGCAATTTTGCACTCGCTAGGCCCTTGTTCTTGCAATTTGGCACATGCTAGGCCCTTGTTCTTGCAATTTTGCACACGCTAAGCCCTTGTTCTAGCTATTTTGCACACGCAAAGCCCTTGTTTTTGAAATTTTGCACACGCTAGGCCCTTGTTCTTGCAATTTTGCACTCGCTAGGCACTTGTTCTTGCAATTTTGCACACGCTAGGCCCTTGTTCTTGCTATTTTGCACACGCTATGCCCTTGTTCTTGCAATTTTGCACACGCTAGGCCCTTGTTCTTGCAATTTTGTACACACTAGGCCCTTGTTCTTGCAATTTTGTACACGCTAGGCCCTTGTTCTTGCTATTTTGCACACGCTAGACCCTTGTTCTTGCAATTTTGCATCAATAGGCCCTTATTCTTGCAATTTTGCGCACGCTCGGCCCTTGTTCTTGCTAGTTTGCACACGCTAGTCCCTTGTTCTTGCTATTTCGCACACACTAGGCCCTTGTTCTTGCAATTTTGCACTCGCTAGGCCCTTGTTCTTGCCATTTTGCACACGCTAGGCCATTGTTCTTGCCATTTTTCACACGCGAGGCCCTTGTTCTTGCAATTTTGCACACGCTAGGCCCTTGTTCTTGCAATTTTGCACACGCTAGGCCCTTGTTCTTGCAATTTTGCATACGCTAGGCCCTTGTTCTTCCTATTTTGCACACGCTAGGCCCTTGTTCTTGCAATTTTGCACACACTAGGCCCTTGTTCTTGCAATTTTGCACACGCTAGGCCCTTGTTCTTGCTATTTTTAACACGTTAGGCCCTTGTTCTTGCAATTTTGCAAGCGCTAGGCCCTTGTTCTTGCAATTTTGCATCAATAGGCCCTTATTCTTGCAATTTTGCACACGCTCGGCCCTGTTCTTGCTAGTTTGCACACGCTAGGCCCTTGTTCTTGCTATTTCGCACACGCTAGGCCCTTGTTCTTGCAATTTTGCACTCGCTAGGCCCTTGTTCTTGCCATTTTGCATACGCTAGGCCCTTGTTCTTGCCATTTTGCACACGCTAGGCCCTTGTTCTTGCAATTTTGCACACGCTAGGCCCTTGTTCTTGCAATTTTGCACACGCTAGGCCCTTGTTCTTGCAATTTTGCATACGCTAGGCCCTTGTTCTTGCTATTTTGCACACGCTAGGCCCTTGTTCTTGCAATTTTGTATACACTAGGCCCTTGTTCTTGCAATTTTGCACACGCTAGGCCCTTGTTCTTGCTATTTTGCAAACGCTAGGCCCTTGTTCTTGAAATTTTGCACACGCTAGGCCTTCGCACTTGCTATTTTGCACTCGCTAGGCCCTTGTTCTTGCAATTTTGCACACGCTAGGCCGTTGTCCTTGCAATTTTGCACATGCTAGGCCCTTGTTCTTGTTATTTTGCACTCGCTAGGCCCTTGTTCTTGCAATTTTGCATACGCTAGGCCCTTGTTCTTGCAATTTTGCACATGCTAGGCCCTTGTTCTTGCAATTTTGCACACGCTAGGCCCTTGTTCTTGCAATTTTGCATACGCTAGGCCCTTGTTCTTGCAATTTTGCACACGCTAGGCCCTTGTTCTTGCTATTTTCAACACGTTAGGCCCTTGTTCTTGCAATTTTGCACACGCTAGGCCCTTGTTCTTGCTATTTTGCACACGCTAGGCCCTTGTTATTGCTATTTTGCACACGTTTTGGGGCCATTTTGCACACGCTAGGCCCGTGCGTTTTTCTTCCGCCGGACCAGGAAGTTCGTGGACCAGGAAGTTAGCGAACCAGGCTATTAGGGGACGAGTCCTTGCGCGCGCCTTCATGTGTACACGTGCGTTATGTAGCGAGAGTACAAAGCAATTTGGAAGCAATACATTATCATGCAAGAAGAAAGCATTCTTATTATTATTTTTAGCACCTTTGACATACAAAAGACGAGTCTTAAATGGCAATGGTGTAGTTATGCTCTACTTGCTCAAACTATGGTGAGCCAGAAGTCAAGCAGCGCCAGAACCAGATGGTGCTGTGGCCCCGCGGCGGCGAGAAGTGGGTAGAGACGGCAGGGCGTCGAGGAAGAACTTGACCAAATTATCAAGGCTCACTTCCTCCTCCGTCTTCAAATCTAGATGCCGTACCTGATACAAGCACGGATGTGCACAGAGAGACCAGAGGCACAGATTGACTCTCTCTCCATCTTTCACCCCTCCTCTCTTCCCTCCTATGTCTTCCCTTTCCTCTGTTCCTCTCCACTCATGTTCCCCTCTCTCACACTCATAACAAAGGATGCACTCTTGCTTTCCACCCCCCTCTCACCTCTTCACCCTCACCCTCTTCCTCCCCCACCCGCACACCCTTGTGACTGCCTTACCAACCTCTCATGTGAGAGCGAGACGCACCTTGGCAGAGTGGGTGTGCAGGCCGGCATCGGTGAGAAGCACGAGCCACTTGATGCCGTGCTCGTGTGCGTGCTCATACTGCTCCGTCAGGCTGGGTGCCCGCACACTCACATACTCCGCCTGCCGCACATGCACCGCACATTGGGCAGTGGGGACAGGATTCCACGTTGTCACTATCAGCATATCATCCCTCACTAAACAGTTTAGTGTATGAGATCTTCCACTGCCCACCAGGAACGTTTTCCTGCCACCAAGAGCTTGTTTTATCCCCGCCGTTCAAAGCTACTACTCCAGCCGCCCATAGCTACCTTGATTCCTGCCGCCCACAGCCGCGCAGAAACTTCCATCCGCTCGCTGAGCAGCCCCGCCCCTCCCCGGGCGCACACGAGCACATCCACCGCTGCCTGCCTGCTCCCCCACCCACACACACGCACAGGGGGGTGCGGGTGGAGGGGTGAGGGGAGAGTGGTGCAGGAGAGGATGAGGGAAGGAAAGTGATGAAGCAAAGGGTGTGCCAAGCAAGTGAGAGGGGTTGAAAGAAGTAGGTGGTGGAGCGAGATGCGTGTGAGCGGGCACCTGGAAGTGTGGTGGGTGGTTGGGTGTGATGGCGCCATGAGCTTGTGCAGCGCCACACTGAACCCCACCGCCCCACTCCCCCCCCCACTGCCCCCCCCACTGCCTCCTGTCCCTCTTGCCCGAGAGCTCTGCGCAGCAGAGGAGGCGTGCAGCACACGCAGAGGAGGCATGCAGCACACGGTACAAAGCAGCAGAGGAGGCATGCAGCACACGGCACAAAGCAGCAGAGGAGGCATGCAGCACACGGCACAAAGCAGCAGAGGAGGCATGCAGCACACGGCACAAAGCATCAAGGAGAGGGCCGGGTCACGCAGACGCATTGACAGGGAGGAGACACAGACACAGACATGCGCATACACGAGAGACACAGACACGCAGGCAAGGGACCAACCAAGAGGCGCACAACAACACTTGACGGTTACAGCAGGGAGCAGCAGACTAACAGGCGAGAACAAGGAGAAGGAACAACATGCAAACAGGGAATGAAGAAAGAAGAATAGGGGAATATGGGGACGTTGCAGTGGAGCTACCCATGTCTGACACCCCACACCTCACCACACGCCCATTCCTGCAAACATGGAGGTCACAAGTCCCCAATACTGCCAGACCATGCCACGCGCTTCGACTTCCTGCCCCTAACATGCATCCCCGTCTGAACAACCCACCGCTCCTCTCCCAGCGGCAGCAGCGGAGGAGAGGTGGAGCAGCAGGGCATCGTAGCGGCCGCCCACAGCCACGCAGAGGGGCGGCGAGGACGACCACGGGGCGGCCAGGGCGGATGGGGGCGAGGCGGAGAGCGAGCGAGCGCCAGGCAAGGAAGCATCAGAGGGCAGGGTGGTGCGCTGGGTGCTGATAGGGTTTAGGGGGTGCTGCTGCTGGTGCTGGTGATGGGAAGGTTGAGACGGCAGGTGCCTTGCGTGGACCTGAGGTGCAGCGCACGCAGGAGATACAACGAGGCAGGAGGCAGGGTGAACAAGGCTGGAAATAAGAACTGGAGACATTCCATGGCTGCATGTCACATGCACGGAAGGAAACAGGAGCAGCAAAATCAAAGAGGGCGCTTAAGGGAAAGAAGAAGGGGGTGGGGGAGACCTGGAAGAAGCATTTGGAGAAGTAGTGGTGGGAGGGCGCCATGAGGGCGTCGATGGTGGTGCACGCGGGGTGGATGCCCCACACTCGCAGCAGCGCCAGCAGCTCTCCCAGCTCGCCCAGTGCCGCCGCCACCAGTGGGCCTGGCCCGGGGGGGAGGATGAGAGGGGAGATGGAAGGGAAAATGGAAAGACATGAGTGGGAGGAATAAGAGGGATGGGCAGAACATTGAAGTAAATGTTCTTTTCGCATACCTGGTGGCAGCGCCCCTGTGAGCGCATACCTGGTGGCAGCGCCCCTGTGAGCGCATACCTGGTGGCAGCGCCCCTGTGAGCGCATACCTGGTGGCAGCGCCCCTGTGAGCGCATACCTGGTGGCAGCGCCCCTGTGAGCGCATACCTGGTGGCAGCGCCCCTGTGAGCGCATACCTGGTGGCAGCGCCCCTGCGAGGCGCGCCATGGCATCGTCTGCCGGCCCACTGAAGCGCTTCTCCACCGCCTGCAGGCGATCCACCACCGCCTCACCCAGCCCCACTCCCTGCCACCGCACCGCACCACTCACCCACACACGCCGGCGCACAGGAACAGAAACACTGGCACGTTGGCACAACGGCACACACGCACAAACGCTCAAACACAAAAAGACACACAGATGGACAGACAGGCAGACGGACGATGGATCATGAAGGACGGACTGACACGCACCTTCTCACAGCATGCAGCAGCACACACGCACCTGCAGCAGCTGGCGGCGAACAAGAGGCCACGCGGCCTTGCGGGAGGGGGCTGTGGGGGGAGAGCCGCCCAGCAGCGCCAGCAACTGCTCGTGAACAGGGGGGCCGGGGGGGGGGGGGGGGGGGGGGTGGGGGGGGGTGCAGGGGGAGAGGAGGGGCGTAGCAGGGAGGCATGAGCGCGGGTGGAAGGGTGAGAGGAGTGCAGGGTGGCATGGTGCTGCGAGGCATGGTGCTGCGAGGCATGGTGCTGCGAGGCATGGTGCTGCGAGGCATGGTGCTGCGAGGCATGGTGCTGCGAGGCATGGTGCTGCGAGGCATGGTGCTGCGAGGCATGGTGCTGCGAGGCATGGTGCTGCGAGGCATGGTGCTGCGAGGCATGGGAGATGGCTGAAGATGGTGGGTGGTGTGCGTGGTGGACATGGTTGAAGATGGTGGGTGGTGTGCGTGGTCGACATGGTTGAAGGGGAGAGGAGCAGGCGGCAGGGGGGAGGGGAGTGACCTGGGCGACACTGGCGACCTGCGGGCGTGTGACCCCTGCCCACTGCCAGATGGCGCACAGCAGGTCGCGGTGGTTCAGCCGCACCTCCACCGCCCCCCATGCCGCCGCACTCCCCTCCACCACCTCCACCGCCACCTGCATGCAGCACGGCACGAGGCAGCAGGGTGTGAGGCAGCAGGTAGAGAGGCAAGGCGGGGAAAAGGGAAAGCTGGCACTGTTCTGTTGCAGCACTGGGGCACGTGAATCTTGTTAGCGTGCAAGTGGGCACTTGTGTGTGGAAGGGTTTGGAAGTGACGCATGTGTGTGAGGCACATGGACGAGCAAAGCGCTGCCTGAGAACGCACCTTGATGGCTTCAGCATCCGCCAGAACCGGCGTCCCTCCCACAATGTCAAAGTCTGCCTGCCACCCACCTCCACCGCAATGCACATGCCCGCACCACATCGCATGGCACGGAGCAAAATCGAAATGGCCAGGGGCATGGTGGAGGACAGGGGGTGGCAGCAAGAGAGGAAGAGATAAGCAGTTGGTTAGGCCATTTCTGGGCAAAGTTCAAGGTGCACCCTACCCTGCCATGCACTGCTGTGAGGCCCCAAGGAGCTAGCTCGCATACACGCTTGTTCAGCACTCACCTGAGAATGCTGCACACCGACCATGATTGCCGCACACGTGGCGAGCAGCACTCGCTACTTATACCCCATGCCCTTAAGCCCTGGACTCTTGCCACCAACCCAGTTTCACCCCGTTCCATCACCCCTTTGTTTCAACGGGTCAGGCGACACACCTGCAGATAATCGTGAGGGGGGCGGCGACCGGGAGCGCGGCGAAACACAGAGGAGAACTGGAAGCGCTTCAGAGACGAGGTCTGGGAGGGGGAGGACCGGGGGGGCAGCACACGTGCCAAATGGATGGCAAAGGGGCAATGGGTCGACAACAGAAAGAGAGGAGCATGAGAGTATCGGGACATTCAAGCGGCATCACGTGCATCACCTGTGTGGCGGCGACCCAGCGGGCGAAGGTGAGTCGAGTGTCGTAGCGCAGTGAGAGCAGCGAGCCCTGTGCGTCCACCACCCGCACCGCCAGCCTGGCAGGGGCGCACGGAGAGGTAGGAGGGGCGGAAGAGAGATGAGAGAAAATGCACGGGCAGACAATGAGAGAGCATAGCGAGAAGGTCACCACACACACAACATTGAGGGGTTAGGGTTGGCGTACTCGTGGGTGTGGCGGTCGGGATAGGCAAAGTCAACGACACGTGTGTCGGAGCGCAGGGCGCCATGGCGGTGGAAGATGCACTGCACGCCCGCCATGAACGCCTCCCTCGCCCCCGTCCACTGCACCGCCCCCCGCTCCCACTCCTCCTCCTCCCCGGCCCCCCCATGCAGCGTGCGCACAGGTGGCGGGGTGGGCGCAGAGGAGGGAGGCGTGGCGGGGAGGCGGGCGAAGATGGCGGCGAGCACGCGGTCGTACACCGCCGACGAGGAAGTAGAGGAGGAGGAGTCGTCCCCCGGCGCCTGGATGGCCCTCAGTATGCCTGCTCGCCCCCAGCGCAGTGCAGGGGGGGGGGGCGCAGCGGCACACACGAGTGAGGGAAGGGCGACGGTCATGGGAGTGAACACAGGATACACCAGCAGGGAAGCCATGCAGGAAAGGTTGTGTGCAGGCAGGAAAGGTTGCAGCATGGGAGTTTAGAAGGAGCGCGGGCAGTGAGAGTGACCCCCCACCCCCACCGTTTGTGGTGTGCAAGCACCCACCGTTGAGCGCCTCATCCTCCATGCGCGGCGGCATGAGGTCGCATCGCAACACCTCTGCTGCTGACGGGCGGTCACTGGGTAGCGGACTCAGCAGCCGCCTCACCAGCTCTGCCACCTGTGGAGAGTGTGACACACACACACACACACACACACACACACACACACACACACATACACACAGGTGCAAACAGGCACACACAGGCATACACAGGCACATACAGGCACTTGGGTACACACAGAAACACACAGACGCACACAGGCGGGTGGTGGAGCACCCATGCGTGTGGCAGGGCGCACCTGGGGGTGCTTGAGCGCCCACTCATGTGGAATGGTGCAGTGCAGCTTGAGGGCTGAGAGCGTGTGAGCGCGCTCCATGGCCGTGTGGAAGGGGTGCCAACACTCCAGCAGCACCACGCCCACACTCCACATGTCCACCTGCCCACCCCACCCAGCTCACACGGGGATGTTAGTTACGTGCCACGGCATATGGATGCACAGGCACGGGTGAGGGCATGGACAGGCACAGGAGAGAGGTACGAGATGACAGGGTGCGTGGGGTGCCAGGCCAGGGGTGCGGATGCTGCGTGCACTTGCCTTGTCGTCCACGTGCGCCCACCCCTGCTCCACCTCGGGTGCCGTGTAGAAGTACGTCCCCACCTGCCCCGTCGCCGACTGCCGCCTCTCCCCCATGGGGCCCCCTTCCCTCCCCCCCCTTTCTGCACCCCCTTCGGGACTCAATTCCCTTTCTGCCTCTTCTCCAGCGTCTGCAGCATCGACCCCCTCCCCCAGCTCCGAGAACTTGGCTGCCGTGTCATGCCCCATGGGGTAAAGGGGGGGGGGGGAGGGGAGTTAGGACAGACGAGTAAAAGATACACAAGCAGGATCACGGAGAAGAAACAGACGAGATCAGGCAGGCAAACTAACGGTACGCAGAGCAAAACAAAAGGGAAAAAACAAGCAAACCATCAAGTCATGCAGATGCAGCATGCAGGTGAGCGCGCATGCAGGTGAGCGCGCATGCAAGGCGTGTTGTGATACCGAGGCCGAAGTCGCCGATCTTGATGTCCCCACGCGGGTCAACAAAGAGGTTGTTGGGAGTGAGGTCGCGGTGGATGATGCCCTGCCCGTGCACGTGCAGCAGCCCCTCCACCACCTGCCGCACCACCCTCCACGCCCACGCGCCATCCACCTCGTCCCCCCCCCTCGCCTCCAACACCTGCCGCAGCGTCCTGGCAGGCACAGGCGCGGAGAGGGCGGGACAAGGGCAGGCAGGCGAAAGAAGAAGAGGGCTCAGGGTGAAAACGCGCATGTAATGTGCATGGTCGAAACACGAACGGATAGGTGCACATTCTTCCATCACAACCGCAAAAGGCGGACGTGCAAAGAGCAGAAGGTGTGAAGAGGGGAAAGCAGTGTCAGAAAACGCACCTAGGGCAGTACTCCATCTGAACGCACCTAGGGCAGTACTCCATCTGAACGCACCTAGGGCAGTACTCCATCTGAAAGCACCTAGGGCAGTACTCCATCTGAAATCACCTGGGGCAGTACTCCATCTGAATGTACAGGTACGTCGTTTCCGCCTCACCCCCATTCCTGCCGTCCCTCCCCCCCGGCAAGCTGTGGGAGTGGGTGAGGTCTGCATCGCGAGTGAGCCACTCCGATGCCGACGCCAGCGACGTGCTCGCAGTGGGGCTCGCGCTGCCCTCCATGCTGTCTGTGTCGGTGTGCGCGGGCAGGTGGCGAGTGGAGCGGCCGGCCCCGGTCTCGAACCAGGCCTGGTAGTAGCGCACCACGTGCTGGTGCTGCAGCCGTGACAGCGTCGCCACCTCCCTGCCATGGCCCCGCCCCACATGCAAGGGGGGTCAGAGGGTGAGAGGGTAAGAGGGTAAGAGGGTGAGAGGTTGAGAGTGTGAGCAGTTGAGAGGGCAAGAGGGTGAGAGGGTGAAAGCGTAGGAGGGTGGGAGGGGCAGGGCACCTGAGGATCTTGGAGTTGAGGGCGGGGCTCTTGCCCCGGAGGGGAATCCTCTTGATGGCATACTTGCGCCCGTCCAGCTTGTTCACACACAGCACCACCGACCCAAACCCGCCCTTGCCTGCTCCACCCACACGGGCAGCACGACCAGGAGGGGTTCATGGCAGGGAACTAATGAGAGGCAGTGATGAGAGTCACCAGGGGAGACGGCATACAGAGCAAGAAAGGCACGGACTGGCCTCACCCAGCATGGCATGGCCTCACCCACCCAGCATGGCATGGCCTCACCCACCCAGCATGGCATGGCCTCACCCACCCAGCATGGCATGGCCTCACCCACCCAGCATGGCATGGCCTCACCCACCCAGCATGGCATGGCCTCACCCACCCAGCATGGCATGGCCTCACCCACCCAGCATGGCATGGCCTCACCCACCCAGCATGGCATGGCCTCACCCACCCAGCATGGCATGGCCTCACCCACCCAGCATGGCATGGCCTCACCCACCCAGCATGGCATGGGCCTCCCCACCCAAGCATGGCATGGCCTCACCCACCCAGCATGGCGACCTCCTCGAAGTCTGAGAGGTAGCGCGACCCCGACGCCTGTGCTGCTGCATCTACAGCGCTGCCCTCGCCCTCCGCACTGGCCGACCAGAACCGCTGCAGCGCCCGTTGCACCTGTGAGTGTGAGAGTGGCGTGACAGCACAGCCGCACCCCTTGCATGCCCCGTTAGATCCCATGCCCTTGCCACAGGCAAGGCAGGAGCCATACAAGAGCGCACACACAGCACGGCTGGACCGGTGCATGCACACATGCATGGGCAGGATGGGTGGAGGGAGCGTGAGAGAAAGCAGGGACAGGTGGCGCACATGGCATAGCAGGAAAGCTCACGGATGGGTCTGCATGGGCGTGCGCAGTGAGGCGGCGGGCAGGCTTGCTGAAGACGCGGTGGAAGGCACGGTCGATGAGGCGCGGGTCATGGTGCAGCAGATCCGCCACCCACTGCGGTATCACCTGCCCACGTTGCACTCGCACTCGCACACATGCGCACACACACAGACACGCATGCACACGTTAGATAGCTGCATCATCTCTCACTGTTTTCATTGCAATAACTAATCCTGCAGCGATCATTGCATGTGGTTACCTCATTGCATGATGTTACCTCATGACAGGTGCTTACCACAAGCCTTGTGGTTACCCAATGTGCTTACCTCCAGCCATGTGGTTACCACAGGAATGTAATTACCACAAGGCATGTGGTTACCACAGGGCATGTGGTTACCACATGGCATGTGGTTACCACAGGGCATGTGGTTACCACAAGACACGTGGTTACCTCAAGAGCTTGCAGCTGAGAGGCGAGGGCAGGCAGGGCGTGGGGCAGAGGGCCGTTGTGGCTGGTGACCATGCGCAGTAGGTGAGCCTGCACGCACGTGAAGGGAATGCTTGTTAGGAGGGCAGAAGGGGAATGCACGGAGCGAGCAGGGCGCAGGGTGAGGGAGGGGGTACGAGGAGCAGGTCGCGCTGGATCATGCCCGTGTACATGTCGCGCGACCCACGGCGCTGCGCTCCTGAGGCCGATGCCGAGGCCAGCACCGCAGCTGCAGCTGCAGTGGCTCCCTGTGCTGCATCCCTCCCATCTGCACCCACTGCCGTCCCTCCATCCGTTGAAAAACTCCTTCCTTCACTCTCTTCCTCCTCCTCATCATCATCCTCCTCCTCCTCCTCACTCTGCTCGTCCTCCTCCCCCTCCTCCTCATCCCCTCCATCACCACCACCGTCCTGCTGCGTGCGCCCGCCCCCTGATCCCCTGTGCCTCGCCGTGCTCCTCTGATGCCCCACCAGCTGCTCCACCTGCCACATGCCACCACATGCCACCACATGCACACACATGCACACACACACACACACACACACACACACACACACACACACACACACACACACATAGGGAGCAGGTAGCAGGAAGCAGGGAGCAGATGTTCATTGGGGGAACTTAAAGCCCAGAAGTTAAGCACTGAACGCAAAGAGATTGAGAACCCTGTTGTACCCCTAACCTGCTCCCCTTTGTCAGTCCACCACGCACCTCGGCCAGCACCTGCATGCTCCTGAGCCCCTCTCTCACTCGCCGGATTAGTTCGCCCACCGACCCCTGAGTGTCCTCCTCCCCGCCCCCCGACGCTGACAGGGTCACGGCAGAACACCCCAGCGGCCACGCGGTGGTGGATGGTGAGGGGGCAGTGGAGGGGGGGGTGGTGGTGTGGGAGGCAGAGCCATCGGATGCACTGTCGCCCCCATGCTGCCACAGCCCCCTGCCCCTCTGCCTCCCTCTGCCGCCGCTGCCTTGGCTCTCCTCCTCTCCACTCTCCTGCTCCTCCTCCTCGTCGTCATCCCCCTCCTCTCCCTCGTGTGACGACTCGCTTGCTTCTTCACTCTGCTGCCTTTGCATCTTCACCGCACCACCCACGCCACCCGGCCTCCCCACACCACCGCCACCACCAGCCAAAGCGGTACCTCCACTCCTTCCCTCCCTAGCTTCTGTGCCTGTCCCCTCTCCCCCTGGCCTGCCACCGAGGCCCCTTCTTCCTCCTGCACTCGCTCCTCTTCCTTTCCCTCGCCCTCCACCCCCCACCTCGCCCTTCCCAGCTCCGCCCTCCTGACTGCCCCCCGCGCCTCTGCCCCTGCCTGCGCCCCTGCCTCTGCCCCTGCCCCTGCCTGCGCCTGCAGTGCCTGGGCCAGGGGGCCAGGCAGCGGGGGCGAGGGGGAGGGCAGAGAGGGGGTCGGAGAAGAGCCCCGCGTCCACACTGTCCTCCCACGCCCACCCCTCCTCCCCGCCCGCTGCCTCGCCTTCTGCCTCCTCCCCATCGCTGCCCGCCTGCAAGCACTCCAAGATGGAGTGTTAAGACGCCAGCGCACGCAACGCGAGAGCTGTGACGGCGATGGGGAATGAAGTTAGAAATGCAGAGACACATGCGGCACACAGGTGAAGGGCGATGAACAAAGCGCACCTGGGTGGGAGCAAGAGGGTGGTGTGTGGCGGGTGACAGTGACGAGAGGCGGCGAGAGAGGAACTCTTGTGCCGTCTCGGCAAGGTTGAATACCGTCACTCGCCCCTCCCGTGCTGCCCGTGCTGCCTGCATTGCCACACGCCGTGTGCAGCACGCATGGTCAGGTGAACGCTCAAGGCAAAGCCGCAACGCATAGGCACACAACAATGGACCCAGCCACGTTGGAAAGGCGGACTTGGTTGGAAGCAAGGAGGGAGATAGACAAGGGACGGGGAGTGGCAGTGCGGAGAGCAGAGAGGCGCCTGTTGGTCCCTCACCCCCCTGTGCCCTGGCCTGACCCCACCTGGTCGTGCAGCAGCGCCACCAGCTCCACCACGTCCTCCTGCTCCAGCCCCTCCCGCGCCTCCACTCGCAGCTTCAACGCCCGCCTCGGATATCCTGCCACATACCTGCACGAGGGGCGCGGGCAGGGGAAGGGGAGGCAATGAGGGAGTGGACGCGGCCACCTCTCCCGCTGCACCCCTCCACGACCACCCCACACCTCACTGCCTCACCGCAATACTGCCTCACCACGACCTTCCCTGGGAGCGGGCTTGCCTGGGAGCGGGCTTGCCTGGGAGCGGGCTTGCCTGGGAGCGGGCTTGCCTGGGGGCGGGCTTGCCTGGGGAGGGGCTTGCCTGACGACGAGGTGGAGGGAGACGGCGTCGAGGTTGGCGTGGGCGGCAAAGGAGTAGTGCGGGCGCAGCAGCAGCGCATACTCCACCAGCGGCCGCTCCGCGCGCAGCTCAAAGTCGTCCGCGAAGATGGCGGAGCTGCCCAGGGCAGGGGGAAAGGCGGAGGGGCGACAGGTCAAAAGAGCAACAAATGCTATTGGAGTGCAGCAATGTGGGTGGATAGGCCTCCAGACATGAAAAATGACGCCAACACACGGCCTGTGGTTTCAGCCATACGTCCGTTGACAGGGGTGCGGCGGGGCGTACATGGCGGTGAGCTCGTCGAGCTGCTGCGCGCGCAGCTCCTCGTCCTCCTCCTCCTCGTCCCGCCGATGCCGCCCGGCCCCCGCGCGGCCGCCTCCGCCTCGATGGCCGCGCGCCTTCTTTTTGCCCGCCATGCGCGCACACACGCACGCCGCGCGTCACACACGTGTGTGGACCCACAACATCACTCCCCTTGAAGGAATCTTACGTACCCAGTGCGACCTACGCAATTAGCACTCGCACACGTTTAGGCGTGCTTCTGCGTGCGGTGACAATGATGTTACCTGCAATAAGGAATCCGTACAAGCTAATAGTTTTACTGAAGAAGCGCACTGACATTATTTCCAGAAAGACATTCGGAAATTCTTGCCTGATATCATTCGTGGTGCCACTACCGTGAATTCCACGCCAGCTGTGACCCTTCCAACTTCTGGAAGGAGATTCCGTGGTACTGTGCGGTGCAACTCCCAGAAATTGGACGATTTCGCCTGCATCGGTTTCGCAAAATTCGCCCAGTGCGTGTAAATCTTTGCTGGCGAAACGACTTTCGGAATTCCAGAAACGGCAGGATGGTGGTACTGTATTGGCGGGAAAGGAAACTCGGCAGAATCAATGAACCACCTCTTGTTGCTGCTCATTCCACTCCTCTCTCTCATCAACTGCTTGCCCTTCGATCCGCAACCCCACGCGTCAATTCCGCACATAAAATCTTTGTGATTCCTCAGTCGTCAGTGATTAATCCGTTTTTCCCGGTCAGCGGCAGCAGGCTTCTTGATGGCATCTGAGGGGGGGCAGTCGCCGGAGGTGGAGGGCGAGGCGATGGTCACGGTCGTCATCAAGAACCCCTCCGCGTCGTCGCCAGGCGACTTCAGGACGCGAGTGCGAGCGGCGGGCACGGTGGGCGACGTGAAGCGACAGCTGCAGGAAGAGTACGCGGGACACCCCGACCCGTCGCGACAGAAGCTGATCGTCGCCGGCCAGCTCGTGAAAGACTCGCTCCTCGTCCGCGACGTATTTAAACAGGTCCGCTCGCACGCTTTGTTCCGACCGTCTCAGTCGTTTAACGCGTGGTCGGCGCTCTCTCATCGTTATTGCCGCATGTCGCGGAGCTATACGTCTAGAGTCGTCGATCAGAGTCATGGTGGGAGGAAGACTCTGGTTGCTGCCGGAAATTCTTGTTATTCGGGAGTGCGAGCATAAAGATTCAGTCAGTATGATTTTCTTGTTCCGTCACGTGCAAGTGCGTCAGGGGAAAGGATGTGCTTGAGTGTGACTCGTTTCACGTGCCACCAATCTCTGCCCTTCCCTCTCCCCCCCTGCGCTCCTCCGCGCGCAGAAGAACCTGAGCGAGCCCCAGGTGATGCACCTCGTCGTCTCTTCCGCTCCCCCCGGCACCTCCTCCGCGCCGTCCTCCGCGCCCTCTTCCGCGCCCTCCACGACTCACTCCAGCCGCTCCGTCTCCCCCACGCCCTCCTCCTCCGCGCGCGCCCACTCGCGCGCCACCCTCCCTGCCTCCAACCTCGCGCTTGCTCCTTTCCCTGCCGCGCCTGCGCCAATCCCTGCGCCCGCCGCTGCCGCCGCCGCCTCACTGCAGCGCGCAGGCGCTGTCCCGGGGTCCGGGCAGGCGCACGCAGTGGAGGCGGACGGGACGGCTGTAGCGCCGGCCGCTGCAGCTGCGGCGCCCGCTGTGGCTGCTGCAGCCGCGGGTCCTGGCGCAGTGGGGGGGCTTACAGCGGGCGGGGGAGAGGCAGAAGGGCGAGCACCCACAGCAGCAGCAACAGCAGCAGCAACAGCAGCAACAACAGCTCCAGCTGTTACGCAGGCCGCTGCCGCTGCTGGGGGGGGAGAGCAGCAGCAAGCCATCCTTCAGGTGAGTATTCAGTCGCTTCTGCTGCCACGTTCGCCCTCCTCTTCCCGCTCTCTACCCTCACCGCTCATCTCTACCCTTTCCTCTCCTCTCTACCCTCGCCTCTCCACTCTACCCTCGCTCCTCCTCTCTCCTGTCTGCTCTGTTCACACGCCTCCCTACCCTCTCCCCGTCCTCCCCTCTCTCCCCCTCTCCATCCTGGGCCCCTCGCAGCTGCTCGGTGCGCTGCAACACACTGCGCCCACTGGCCTGCCGCCTCTGCCCTTCTCGCCTCTCATGGCGCCGCCCCTGCCGGCCCTTCCGCCGCCATACTCGCCTTTCACGCTGCCGCCCTTCATGCTGCCTGCTGACTCTTCCATGCCTGCATCAGCCCTCTACCCACCTTTACTGCACTCCCCTCTGCTCCCCCTCACCATGCCGCCCATGCCCTTCCCCTTCGCTTTCCCTTTTCCCTGGCCCTCCCCTCCGCCCATGCCCATGCCGGGTGATCCCCTCGCACCCATCGCCTTTGCCCCTCCCATGCCTCCCTTCGCCTTCCCACCCACCATGCCTCCTCCGCACCCATTCGCCAGCAACGGCAACAGGTGAGCTGTTTTTTAGAGTGCATTAGGCGTCTTAGCAGTGTGAGAGGCATCATAGCAGTGCGAGAGGCATCTTAGCAGTGCGAGAGGCATCTTAGCAGTGCGAGAGGCATCTTAGCAGTGCGAGAGGCATCTTAGCAGTGCGAGAGGCATCTTAGCAGTGCGAGAGCCATCTTAGCAGTGCGAGAGCCATCTTAGCAGTGCGAGAGGCATCTTAGCAGTGCGAGAGGCATCTTAGCAGTGCGAGAGGCATCTTAGCAGTGCGAGAGGCATCTTAGCAGTGCGAGAGGCATCTTAGCAGTGCGAGAGGCATCTTAGCAGTGCGAGAGGCATCTTAGCAGTGCGAGAGGCATCTTAGCAGTGCGAGAGGCATCTTAGCAGTGCGAGAGGCATCTTAGCAGTGCGAGAGGCATCTTAGCAGTGCGAGAGGCATCTTAGCAGTGCGAGAGGCATCTTAGCAGTGCGAGAGGCATCTTAGCAGTGCGAGAGGCATCTTAGCAGTGCGAGAGGCATCTTAGCAGTGCGAGAGGCATCTTAGCAGTGCGAGAGGCTCCTTTATCTCTTCATGCTTACAGTTGGACCGATTTAGTTTTTTCCTTTTAGCCTTGAGCCCACTGCAACTGTTCCTCCACATTCTTATCCTTGTTCTCCACTTGATCCCCCCGCCCCACCATGTGCCCCTGCCTCTGTGCCTCTGCCGTGTGCTGCCAGCCCTGCCCCCCCTGTTGGCGCGCCTGTGCACACCCACCCGCACCACCCACCCACTGTGGGCCTCGCACCACCACCGCCCGCACCAGCGGCAGCACCTTTGCCTCAGGCAGGGGCAGCACAGCCCCATCCCGCCGCCCCTGCTGCAGCGCCAGGTGCCGTGGGGGAGGAGGCGGCAGCAGCGGCGGCCGTGCAGCAGCATGTGCGGCAGGCGGGCGCAGTGGGAGGGGTGGAGGAGGAGTGGCAGCAGCAGCTGCAGCAGCGGCTGCAGGCGGTGATGCAGGCAGTGCGGCAGCAGCAGATGGCAGAGCACCACGCAGCCATGGCCGCTGCTGCTGCTGCCGCCGTTGCTGCACAGAGGGGGGGCGCAGGTGGGCTTGCAGGAGTGCCAGGAGGAGGCAGGGCGGCAGGGGATGCAGCAGGGCATGTGGGGGTGGGGGGGGGCGGCAGCAGTGGAGGGCGCGCCTAGAGTGCGGCGCATTCAGTTTGCAATCCGCATCGACCTCATGCTGCTGCTCAAGCTCACGCTGCTTGTCTATGTGTTCGGCCAGGGCGGGGGCTACCGCCGCTTCTTTGCCCTCATCGCTGCTGCTCTCTTCATCTACCTGTGAGCCGCCCAGCTTTTCGTTTACTCACACCAGCATGTGGCAGCTGTGTCAGCTCTTCACCTCTTTCCCGTCCTCCTCACACCCTCTTCTCTGCGCTCTGCGCCCTCTCCCCCATGGGCAGGTACCAAGCGGGCGTGCTGGCGCCGCTGCTGCGATGGCTCTCCCACCGCGCGCAGGCCGCCATGGGCCTGCCTCCCCACCCCCCCCACGCCGCTGCTGCCCCCCACGCTGCTGTGCCACCTCAGGCTGGAGCCGGGGCTGCAGGGGGTGGGGGAGGGGCGGCAGGGGCGGAGGGAGGTGTCGGCGGGGCGGCAGGTGGTGTGCAGGGCCAAGCAGGTGCGAGGCTAAGTGCTCTCTGCCCCACCCCTCTTGCCTAGCCCCACCCCGCTTGCATGCCGTTGCTTGACTGTGCCACCCCTCCCTTCACTGGCTGCTTCTCGCCTTGCCTTTCATGCTCCGTTATTCCTCATTCCCTTCTTCAGTCTCATTGTGTGTCACATCCTTCGTCTCATCTTGTGTGCTGCAGCCGTTCAAGCCTTGCAACAGCAGCCACCACAGCAGGGAGTGCAGCAGCAGCAGCAGCAGCAGCAGAGGCGGGGATGGCTACAGGAGGTGCAGGTGTTTGTGGTGGGCTTCCTCACATCGCTGCTGCCTGGCTTCCAGCCGCCCGACCATCTGCCCGCTGCCCTGCCACCCCAGGCCGACCGCCCTCACCAGGATTAGAGATGAAATGTTAACATCAGTTAGTCGGCTCAAAGGACAACAGTCCGTTCAAGTATCTCAATCAAAATATTCTTACCTTATCTTTTAACTATTTGCACAAAAGTTACACTGAATTAAAACTGTTTCGCCATCACCTTCCATCGACTTCCGCCGAACCACTGACGGGTTCGCTCACGGATGCTGCCCATATTGCACCATTTTCCTAGCTTTTCCTACGCCACAGCCTCATTTCCATCGTCGCGCGCGAGCGCACTCGAGTCGGCACGCGGCAACCCCTAGAGTCTCAAGCTCCTCACTCCTTCCAATCCTCGCCCCACGGGCGCGGCAGCGACGGTCCGCGCGCCGCTCGTGGCGGCTGTCATGGCGTCCACCCACTCAGACGCCGCGGACTCCCAATCGGACGGCTCAGATTCTCCAATTCTCGTGGAGCGACCGGGTCCGTCCGATGTGACTACGGTTGGCGAACTGGCAGACAGGGAGGCCGCAGGGGGCGCAGCCGCTGGCGGGGCGGAGTCGAAGGCGGACGACTCGTCCGCGGAACCACCATGCAGCGATGGCGCGCCCGGCGATCCGCGGAAGGAACGCGCGGAGCCCCCGGAACGCGCGGGGCAGGACGAGGCGGAATCCGCAGCGGCGCTGGTGTCGCCGTCGAAAGCGCACGGGCGAGAGAGAGGCGCGGCGGGGTCGGGGCAGGGCGAGGTGGCGGCGGCTGTGGGGCAGGTGGCGGCGGGCGTGGCGGCGGGCGTGGCGGGTCTCGCGAGCAGCGCGGGCGCCGAGGCAGCCGCCGTCGTGAGCAGCCTGGGCGAGCGGGTGAGTTTGGGGGGAGAGGGGGGGGAGAAGGGAAGGACGCGCGGGAGGGTTAGGCGGGGGAAAAAAAAAGTGTGGGTGGGGGGAGTGGGGCGGACGGGGGAAGATCGAGAGATTGCGGGGCGAGCGGGGGAGCGGGTGAGGGGCAACAGTGTGCGGCACTCTTGGCATTCTTTAAAGCCCTCCCTGCGGCCTCACCTCCACGTCGCCACCTCCCTCACAGCCCCTCCCCTCCCCTCCTCTCCCCGCGTGTGTGCGTGCGTGCGTGCGGGCGGGCGGGCGTGTGTGCGTACGTGTGCGTGTGTGTGCGCGCGTGTGCGTGCGTGCGTGCGAGTGCGCGTGCATGCGTCCATGCGTGTTCCTGTGTGTGCCTGTGCGTGCATGTGTGCATGCATGTGAGTGTGTGCGGTGCATGTGGGTGTGCGATGCATGTGGGTGTGCGGTGCATGTGGGTGTGCGATGCATGTGGGTGTGCGGTGCATGTGGGTGTGCGGTGCATGTGAGTGTGCGGTGCATGTGAGTGTGCGGTGCATGTGAGTGTGTGTTTGCACGTGGGTGTGGGGTGCATGAGTGCATGCATGCGAGTGTGTGCATGCATGTGGGAGTGCGTGCATGCGTGCATGCATGGGGGTGTGTGTGCATGTGTGCATGCATGTGTGCGTGCATGTGTGCGTGCATGTGCGCGTGCATGTGCGCGTGCATGTGTGCGTGCATGTGTGCGTGCATGTGTGCATGCATGTGTCCGTGCATGTGTCCGTGCATGTGTGCGTGTGCGTGCATGTGTGCGTGCATGTGTGCGTGCATGTGTGCGTGCATGTGTGCGTGCATGTGTGCGTGCATGTGTGCGTGCATGTGTGCGTGCATGTGTGCGTGCATGTGTGCGTGCATGTGTGCGTGCATGTGTGCCTGCATGTGTGCGTGCATGTGTGCGTGCATGTGCGCGTGCATGTGCGTGCATGTGTGCGTGCATGTGTGCGTGCATGTGTGCGTGCATGTGTGCGTGCATGTGTGCGTGCATGTGTGCGTGCATGTGTGCGTGCATGTGTGCGTGCATGTGTGCGTGCATGTGTGCGTGCATGTGTGCATGCATGTGTGCGTGCATGTGTGCATGCATGGGAGCGCGTGGAGCAGGTGACAGGGCTGAGCACGGGCTTTGTGTCGCTCTTCAGTGTCTTTGACTCCGCTATCGCCTACCCCTCCGACAAGCCCACTGCTCCCGCCGCCGCCGGGGGTGGCAGCAGCGCAGCGCAGGCAGAGGCGCACAAGGCCAGGGGGGGCAGTGATGGCAGGGGGACGGGGGGCGCGGAGGAGGAGGGGCAGGTAGGGGCGGAGGGCAGTGCGCGGTCGCCCCACCCGTCCAGAGCCATAGACCTGCAGGCCATCTTTGGCCTCCCCACCCATGAGACCCTGCTGGAAGGTGCGTGGAATGTTCCATGCGAGCTGTGCATGCTGTGCTGCTGGGCTGCTGTGGTGCTGTGCCTGTTTGCCCCTTTCCTCAACACTCCCTTCCCCATCCTCCCCCATCCTTCATCCTTCCTGCCGCATTCCTTTTGCAGTCATCATCTCGTGGATTCCTCACACTCCACACTGCCATATACTTCTTTCCCCTTCTCGCCCTCTCCACCGTACGCCCTCCTCATACCTCTCCCTTCTCTCCGCTCTGCGCATCACTTCACTTCTCAACCCCACCTCCCACTCCACCCCCTTTCTCACTCCCTCTTCTCCCACGGCCCCCAGCCTTCCCCTGTCGGCTGCTGCAGCTGTACCGACCAGTGTACAACACGTTCACGCCCGACATGCGGAGGGCCTTCAGGGGCATGCTCTACATCACACACCAGCACGTCTGCCTCTGCCTTGACGACAGTGGACGCCGCATCCCCGTGAGGGCCCTGCCCTGCTGCTCATCCAGCAGCCCCTCTATGCTCACCAACCCCGTCTCTCTTTGCCTCGCCCCATTAAGTTCACCATTTTCCCACTCCCTTCCCCTCGCCATTCCCGCCCTTGTTCCTTTTCCTTGCCCGCTTCCATGCCCTTGCCCACTCCCCTCCCCACATTCCTCTCGGTGCTGCCCGGGGCCGTGCCATGTGTGGGCTGGGGGGGGGCGTGCCATGTGTGGGCTGGGGTGGGGCGGTGGGGCAGATAAAGCTGGAGGCAGCGGAGGTGGCGGGGGTGGGGAAGCAAGCAGCCAGGCGGGGCGACAGCAGCGACCAGCTCAAGATCGACCTCTCAGGCGCGCACACCTCGGTGGGTGCTGTCAGGCGCGCACACCTCGGTGGGTGCTGTCAGGCGCGCACACCTCGGTGGGTGCTGTCAGGCGCGCACACCTCGGTGGGTGCTGTCAGGCGCGCACACCTCGGTGGGTGCTGTCAGGCGCGCACACCTCGGTGGGTGCTGTCAGGCGCGCACACCTCGGTGGGTGCTGTCGGGGGCGCACACCTCGGTGGGTGCTGTCGGGGGCGCACACCTCGGTGGGTGCTGTCGGGGGCGCACACCTCGGTGGGTGCTGTCGGGGGCGCACACCTCGGTGGGTGCTGTCGGGGGCGCACACCTCGTTGGGTGCTGTCGGGGGCTCTCATCCCTCCACCCACCCTGCCCTGATCGCCACTGCCTAAGTTTCCTCTGTCGCATTTCCCCCCTCTCTCTGGCTCCCTGCCTCCCTCTTCCCCCTCCCTTCTCTCCCTCTTCCCCCTCCCTTCTCTCCCTCTTCCCCCTCCCTTCTCTCCCTCTTCCCCCTCCCCTCCCTTCTCTCCCTCTTCCCCCTCCCTTCTCTCCCTCTTCCCCCTCCCTTCTCTCCCTCTTCCCCCTCCCTTCTCTCCCTCTTCCCCCTCCCTTCTCTCCCTCTTCCCCCTCCCTTCTCTCCCTCTTCCCCTCCCTTCTCTCCCTCTTCCCCCTCCCTTCTCTCCCTCTTCCCCCTCCCTTCTCTCCCTCTTCCCCCTCCCTTCTCTCCCTCTTCCCCCTCCCTTCTCTCCCTCTTCCCCCTCCCTTCTCTCCCTCTTCCCCCTCCCTTCTCTCCCTCTTCCCCCTCCCTTCTCTCCCTCTTCCCCCTCCCTTCTCTCCCTCTTCCCCCTCCCTTCTCTCCCTCTTCCCCCTCCCTTCTCTCCCTCTTCCCCCTCCCTTCTCTCCCTCTTCCCCTCCCTTCTCTCCCTCTTCCCCCTCCCTTCTCTCCCTCTTCCCCCTCCCTTCTCTCCCTCTTCCCCCTCCCTTCTCTCCCTCTTCCCCCTCCCTTCTCTCCCTCTTCCCCCTCCCTTCTCTCCCTCTTCCCCCTCCCTTCTCTCCCTCTTCCCCCTCCCTTCTCTCCCTCTTCCCCCTCCCTTCTCTCCCTCTTCCCCTCCCTTCTCTCCCTCTTCCCCCTCCCTTCTCTCCCTCTTCCCCCTCCCTTCTCTCCCTCTTCCCCCTCCCTTCTCTCCCTCTTCCCCCTCCCTTCTCTCCCTCTTCCCCCTCCCTTCTCTCCCTCTTCCCCCTCCCTTCTCTCCCTCTTCCCCCTCCCTTCTCTCCCTCTTCCCCCTCCCTTCTCTCCCTCTTCCCCCTCCCTTCTCTCCCTCTTCCCCCTCCCTTCTCTCCCTCTTCCCCCTCCCTTCTCTCCCTCACCACCTCTCCCCCATGTTCCCCTCACCCCCGCACCCCCGCACCCCCACTGCCCACCACAGCTGCTGCTGCAGGACTTCGCCTCCCCTGATGCGCTGGACAGCGCTCTCGCTCTCCTCGAACACATCACCTCCTGATGCCGCCCCGCCTCACAACCCACCGCTTGCCTCCCGCTCCATGCCGCCCCGCTTACGCTGCCCCGCCTCATGCCGCCCCGCTTCATGCCGCCCCGCTTCATGCCGCCCCGCTTCATGCCGCCCCGCTTCATGCCGCCCCGCTTCATGCCGCCCCGCTTCATGCCGCCCCGCTTCATGCCGCCCCGCTTCATGCCGCCCCGCTTCATGCCGCCCCGCTTCATGCCGCCCCGCTTCATGCCGCCCCGCTTACACTGCCCCGCCTCGTGCTGCCCCGCCTCAGCCCTTTACAGAGTGGGGTCAGCCGCAGGTGGGGTGCATGTGTGCACCACATGGGATGAACCATCGTCACAGTAATGGTACCGTAATGGGTAACGGTAACGTGCAGTGCTCTCAGCACACTGTCCACCACATTCCAGCTCATGGCACGGGCTACGATCCCGTTTGGGGCATGCCCAGCCACATGAGGCGTGTGCTCTCGTGCTGCCTGCCTGTTCCTTTCCCACTTTAGAGTGTGGCTTCCAAATGGTTTTGCATTTTATAGTACGGTAGTCATATATATAGAACCACTTTACACGGGCCTTCTAGGCTACTATATGCAGTGCAGGTCAGGGATCGTTGTATGTATGCTATGCATGGGTAGACGGACTAGGGTGGTGCGAAAGCAGTGCTGCATGATCCACGCAGGGCAGCGGGGCACAGGACATGGGATGCAGGTGGGGTGTGTGCATGCACTGTCACAGGTGAAATCCACGTGGGCTGGTCAGCTGCTGCTGCTGCTGCAGCAGCACAGAGGGCTCCTCCTGTCTGCTGCCGCCACCACTGCTGCCTACACCGCCCACCAACGCCTTGTCTGCTTGCAGAGTGAACGCCAGCTGATCCTTCTCTCCCATCACGTCCCCCCTCTCTCCCTCACCATACCCGCCCTCCCTGCCACTGCCTCTGCTGCCGTCTGACTCGCCCCTCTCCATCTCGCCTCCACCGTCGTCCCGCCGGCTGCCCCCGTCCTCGCCACCGTCGCTGCGGTCGTCACGTGCCTCGCCGTCCTCGGCGCCGCGTTGGCGCTCAAAACGGCTCACAAAGCGCTCGATCACCACGTCGGGGTGCTGCACTGCCACCGCCTGGGGGATGCACGGGGGCCGAGCAGGGGAGGGGAGAGGGAGAAGGGAGCGTGAGGTGGTGAGCATGACGGGCGTTCTTCGCAGACCTGCACCGGGGCAGACGTACACCGGGGCTGACCTGCAGCTGCGGGTGGACGCGGGTGGGGTGACTGACCAGCACCTGTTGTGGCGTGCACGGGGCTGACCTGCAGTTGCTGCTGCAGGTGGCGCATGTAGTCAATGGCATCGTCCAGCATGTCGGCCGTGTTGGCCTGCTTGTCCGTGTTGGGCACCAGCTCCGCCAGTCGTTTCATGTTCTCCGCTATGCGCGACCGCCGCACCTGCCATGGCATCACACGCGAGGGAGACAGGGCCGTGGGGGTGGGGCGTGGGTAAGAATTGGGGGGGAGTCAACGTTAGGCTGGCAGCGCAATAGTGACGATAATGCCATGCTCAGCGGTGAAACATGGCGGAAGGAGGCAATGGAGCGTCGAGAGGGCCTCGTACCCGTTCGGCGATGCTGCGGGGGTGGGTAGCGCAGCCTCGCTTGGCGCGAATCTTACACAGCACGCCATCCTCCGACGCCAGCAACCGTCCGTTCGCCGCTGCCCGCGCCACGTCTTCCCCCAGCCCTGCCGCCATTCGCCCAAGATTCAGCGCCCCGGGCCCCGCCACGGCGGAAATCCCCCCCAAGCCCGTTCTGTGCGCCTTTCCTCCGCCCTCGTTGTCTCGGAACGGTCCGCCTGTCCCTCCCGGCGGCGCCATCCGCTTGGAGCGCGGCAGCAGCTGCATCTCGCGCTCCTCCGCCGCCCGCTTCTGCTGCGCCGTCGCCGCTGACTCCCCGCCGGGAGGCTTGGAGGCGCCACGCGACGGGGAGGAGAGGGGCGCGGAGGCGGCAAGCGGGGGCGCATTGGAGGGGGCGAGGCCGGCGCGCATGATGGCGCCCAGTTGACTGCTGAAGTCGATGCCAGGGACAGACGCGCTTGGGGGTGCGGAAGGGGGGCGACGCGCGTGGGTGGGGGAGGGCGCGGAGGCAGTGCGGGCGAAAGGGAAGGCGGAGTGGGAGGGCGGCAGGGGGTGGTCCGGTGGGTGCGAGGAACGTGGTGCGGCGGACTGCTCCATGGTGCTTGGCACGAGCTCCAACGCCGCCAGCCCTGCCGCAACCAACGGGCGCGCGGGGGGGAGCGCGAGTCACACACACTGTTGGGGTTCGCGCACAATCATGTTCCTCGCGGGAGCAATCATGCATGCGTACAGTACGCGCAGTAGCGGGGACCGATTCTGGACGCACCTGAGTGTTGCTGCAGCCACGACGACAGCATCCCCGACGCCGCGTCGTTCGCGCCCATTGCGCCACCGCCGCTGCCCACGCTGCGCACCGAGCCCTCGCAGCCAGCCAACGGCAGCACCGCCAGGTGCCCCTGCCCCTGCCGCGCATCGCTCGGCGCAGTGCTGCCGCTGGGTGCGCCCCGAGCAGCGGGCGCGGACTGACCGAAGAGGCCGGAGAAGTTGAGCAGCGCCGCCGAAGCCGCCTGCGGTGTGCCGTCCGCGCCAGAGGCGTGAGGAAACGCGGCGAAGTTGAAGCGGGACCCCGCTCCGGTGGAGAGATCAGCCGCAGGATGCGCGGATGATGACAGATCGCGAGACGCCGACACGTCGGACGACGCCGACACACCCGCTGCTGCCGCCGCCGCCGCAGCTGCGTGGTTGCCGGCGAGAAAGGCGTCGATGGACGGAATGGAGGAGGGAAGGCCACCCGCCGTGGCGGACGACTCCCCCAGCAGCCCGAACGGCAGTGCGCCCGCCGCGCTGCCGCCCGCCGCTGCAGAAGTAGCGAGGCCGCGCGAGTAGAGGAGGTATGGATAGGCCGCCATGCCCATGCCCATGTGGTTCAGCTGCGAGTCCATCGCGCTCGCCCCCAGCGCCGCACTCATCCCCGCCGCCGTGCCGCCCGACGCGGGCGCGCGAGACGACGGCCACGGGCCCGCCGACGCCGACTCGATGTTGAACGCCTCGCCGCCCGCCGCCGCAGGTACTGGCGTGTGTTGGCGCGGCTCGGGTGCGCTGGAGGGGAATAGAGAGATCGGAACACGGACACGATCAAAAAGGGTAATAAGTGCGTGCACACGGCGGGGCGTGAACCGTAACGGAGGAGATTTCCGGGAATGTTAGTCCGGCATTTTAATGAGCGTATGGAGCTATGCGAGGCTCACTGAGGAGTCGATTGATGCAGCTGTGACTGTAGCTGAGCGAGAGCCGACTCTATGTGCGCTGTTGGGGTCGTGGGAGTTGTGTGTAGGCTGCTAGGTTGACCTTTGTGCATCACAGTGCCACTGGAAGCAAGGACGCGAGACCAGAGACTGGAGAGATTGTCCTCTCCTCCTGCCATTGCAAACTGAGCAGAGTTGGATTTTGGTCACTCTGTTTGGTGCTGGCGGTGCACAGGGATGGTTATGCAAGATGGCAAGTGTGGAGTGGAGTGGGGCGGAGTGAACAGACGGAACGGCTTTGATGACTGCCTCCACCACGCTTTCGTGCAGGGAGACCCACCCACAAGTGGTTTGCTCTGCCCGGCTGCGAGCAGCTGTCGTGTGTGCCGCTCGCCGGTGGTCGTGGAACCAGCTGTTCCTCGTACGGCTGCCCTAGGAATCTTACAGTGCTGGCTGCCCGTGAATTGTCACTCCAACTCGCAGGGTAATTGACATAGCAAGTTGTCAACTGGAGGCTATGTGGATGAAATTACGCGTGCGTTCGTCACCACGTGGCATGTGCTCAATTGAAACTTGCCTGCGCAAACAAATTCACAGAGCACTAGCGCGGGAACTTTTGGCAGTCAAAGGCAGGGCACACCAGCACGGAAAGCACTGCAAGTGTTCCCAGACCAATGCAGAAAGCTCACTTCAAGTTGCCCCAATCCGATAGGCCGCATCACGAAACAGCCTTGACCGTCGGGACGAAAAAAACTGCCCTGTCACTTGAACAATTGCTTGCTGTGCTTGAGTCCTGTCCAAATGAAATCTGGCAATCAAGGGGTCTGTACTTGGGACTGGTTTGGAGAAGCATTCCATATTTGTGTTTCCATGGTTTGGTTGACCTGCCCCTGACCCGCCAGAGCATCTCGATGTCAATGCTGCCTTTGGGGGGAGTGACTTGTCCGTTGCACAGTCCATGAAAAAACAAGACCAGACTTTTTCCTCACTTGCACAAGCCAACCCCGTCCCGTAGCCGGCCAACAGTGCAGCTGCCAACTGGCTTGTCAACCGCAAGGGATCAAGCATTTCTTTGGCTCAACCACCACAGTGAAGTCGGACTTCGAATGGACGGTGCATTGTAGAGCTTATGGGCCCCGAGCAAGGACGCAATCTTCGTGCTGGTTGGTTGAAATTTTAGTTGATGCTATACACGTCAGCTTTGGCATTTGCGACGCGCGGTTTGAGATTCACGCTTGTGTCCAGAAGCTAGGACAACGACAAACATTGATGAAGGAAATGATAACAGGTAACAAATGCATGCCCCTAGCCGAAAGAGTTCCTCGACAAGGACCCAGAATGCTGCTGAGGTCAGCCCCAGCGTCCAACCACGCTCGATGATATTTTCCATTCAAGGGCGTATGCTGCCAAAGCCCACACTTCAAGAAGTTGTACAGTAATCAAGTCGCGCACACCAAGTACATCGAACCTTCGCGATATTCGATTACACCCTGTTTCTCGACCCTCTCACCTTGCGCGATTCGCTGCTACAGTGCGGTCAGGTGCCATAAACCGTATGGCTGAAACCTGCGGGCAAAGCCGCACCAGCTGACGGAGTGGTACTGGGGGCAAAATTTTTCTTTATCGCTGTATACCCTTTTCAACCGCTTTGAAAAGCTTGGTTAATGTTTTTTACCATGCAGCATCCTAGCTA